ATCAGGACGCGGAGCGTACGTGTCACCGGGGCCAGCAGCTCGTGGCCTGAGTCCTCGCGGAGCTCGCGACGCCTCCGCACGGCGTCCTGGAAGTGGGCGAAGCCCAGGTCCGCCGCCTCCTGCGCCTGGGCCCGCACGCGCTCCCGGTCCCCGGCCGAGAGCACCGTCTCGAACTGACTCCGCGCCCCTGAGGGGCTTTGGTGGAAGGCCTCGTGCAGGTCCCGAAGCAGGTCCTGGACCCCACTGTCCAGGAAGAAGGCCGCGGCAGCACGAGTGACCAGCAGGGCGGCCAAACGCTCACCTGGGGAGAGAACGGAGGCATTGGTCCTGCCGGTTGGGCCGTGTCCTCTGGGGGGCTACTTGTAGGCTGCCAACAGTCCAGTGCTTTGGACCCTCCCAACATCTCGTGGCAATTCCCTTGAGTCTCCCAGTAGCCCAGGAGGGTGAAGGCTGGCAGGAGGCCCCAAGTCCATTAGTGAAAGAGCAGGATCGAAGCAGGGGCAGCCAGGGTGGACAGCTGCCCTGCACGCCTGCCCAGTGCTGTTCTTCATATGGGTTCAAAGCCAGCCCAGCCAACATGGGCATTAGTCACGATGCCCCCTGCCCTTTCAGTGATGGATTTTAGGATCAGGGTCCTTCTCCTGGGACCACCCCGCCCTCCCCTCACCCCCCCACCAGGTCAGAGCTGAGGTTATGACCCCGTGATCATTGTTACTGCAGCATCTGTGTTCAGCCCCTTTGTTTTGTGCCTTCTTTGGCTACACTGGGAGCCAACACTTCCCTCTTTGAAATGAGATGGCCCCATCGGGCCCGGAAAGAGGGATGATGCACCTAATGCTGCTTAAAGCTTGAGGGGCTGGGGCTGCCTGTTTCCTTCTCTGCTTTATAATAGGTCTTTTAATGGTCTACATTCACAGGGCTTCCAGGATGAAATAGATTACTGCATATAAGTGCCTGGAACAGGGCGAGCTTCCGTTGACTTCTTTCACTCCTGACTGTGGCTCACGTTTTATTTTTCTGTTTCTTTGCAAGCATAGTAATTTTAAAAAGTTGTACACTAGACATCTGGTAGAGTGTTTGTAGAGACTCTGGGTTTAGTTATGTTCCTCTGAAAAGAGTTGACTTTTTATCTTTTGGAGGGGTAGGTAATTAGATTCATTTATTTAATTGTTTGTTTTACTGGAGGTACTAGGGATGGAATCTGGGGCCTCACACATGCTAAGCAGGCACTCTACCGCTTGAGCTTTGCCCTCCTCCCTCTGAGAGATTGGCTTCAGCAGGCAGGATTAAACTCTAAACTCTGTGTTCTTTAGTGGCTGCAGCTGAAATCTCCATTTAGTTCTTGCAGCTTGCACCCGTCACTTTTTCAGGCTACCCAGTCTCTCCCTTGGATGTGTAGCTCAGTGGTCAGCCAAGGATGTAAATGGATTTAATACCGAGATTTGAAGTCTCACTTCCCTTCCCCCTGGAATGTGGCTCCTTCCTTTTCGGGATTTCCTTTCTACCTTTATAGCTGCTTTTTCATTCCCAACTTCTGTCATGTGACACCTCAAGCCAACAAAATGGCAACTTTCTGTTCTACATGGATGAAATCTGGATCGGCAAGTTTCCTTGGGCAAAAAGCTGCATGTCTGCAAATCTCAGCTTGTACAGTCTTCATTTTTTAAATCTCCAGTTTCTGCCTGTTCAGTTGCCAAATGTTTGCATCTTATATTTTCCCCCAATTTTATAATTATCATCTGTGGGACACACAGTCTAGTCAAGTTACTTCACCATTACTGGAAGCCAGAATCTTTTATTGTTAGATTTAAAAATTTTGACAATCTGGTTGGGGATGATATAAAATGCTACCCCATTGTTGTATTAATGTTCATTTTCCGGGTGACTGGTGAGGCTCATTTATTTCAGTGAACTCTCTCGCCAATCTGGCGGGTAGGAAGTGGTATCTCATTGTTTTAATATGCACTTGTATCATTACTGTGATGTCGAACATTTTCCACATGATTATTAGCCATCTGTGTTTTTTCTTTTGGGAAATGCATTAGCCAATTTTTGCACTGGATTTTTTTTCTTATTGACAAGTAGGAATTCATCAGATTCTCTAGGTACTCATCTTTTCCCCGCTGCGTACTTTGCAAATATTTTCTCTCTGTTGTGAATTGCCCTTTCATTTTCCATAGTTATGGGCAAAACAGAAGCTTAAATTTTTCAATTTAATCAAATGCGTCAAACTTTTCTTTATGGCTTCCACTTCTTGTATCTTAAGAAGCCCAGCTGTACATAGAAGCCTTACGATGTTCTCTCATATTTTCTTTTTGAAACTGTAAAGCTTAGCTATTAACATAATTCACCTGGAATTTACTTTTTTTTCTTGCGTGGTTTGAAGTAGGGAATAATCAGCAGCACGCACTGAATAACAGTCCTCTTGTTTCCCCTAGAGATTTGCAACACTCGCTCTCACATGTTAGGGAAGTCCCAGGTAAAAACAGGTCTCCCTCTGGCCTCTCTAATTTTTTTTTCACTTTATTTTATTTTGGCAGGGAGGGAAGGCCATTAGGCCTACTTATTTTTGAAGGAGATACTGGGGATTGAACTCAGGACCTCGTGCATGCTAAGCATGCACTCTGCCACTTGAGCTACACCCTCCGCCTCAATTTGTTTTATTGGTCTATCTATCCCTTAAGTCAACATCCTTCTATATTGATCAGTATAGCTTTGTATTAACCGGTAGGGGAAATCCTTATACCACTGCCTCCTCCTCCATCTCCTCTTCCTCCCTCTCCTCTCCCTCCCTCTTCCTTCTCCTTTGTCTTTTCTGTTATTGGTCTCTTGCTCTTCTGTTATCATATCAAACGTTTCTGTCAATGGACATTGGCCATCTCTCTGCGTGTGTGCATATTCTTTATTCTCTTTGAATAAAGTTTTGTATTGTTCTCCATGAAGTCATACGACTCTTTGAAATAAATTGCTTTCTTTTGCTACAGTAAGGGGTATATTTTAAAACCATTAGATTTCCGTTTGTTGCTGGTGTCTATGAACACGAATGCCTTTTGCGTCTCCTGTTAAATTCTGCTCGTGTATCTAACGCGTTTTCGTTGTTTCTGTTGGGGTTTCTACGTTGTCTGGAGGAACGGTTGCTTTCTCTCTTCCTTTCTGGTCTCACGTTTCCCTCCCCTGTTGTGTTGACTGGGATCTCTAGTGCAATGATGGGTAAGTGGGGGAGTGAGCAGCCACCACGTTCCTGATTCTAAAATATCACTATCAAGTATGGTGTTTTTGGTAGGTTTCTGGTAGATTTTACCTTTTTCAATTAAATAAATTTCCTTCTATGTTTGGCTTTTTAAATTTTGGAGATGTTAAATATTATAAAGTACTTTCCCCTGATTTATTGCAGTGATAATATGTTCTTCTTTCTTCCATTAATGAATGTAGTAAATTACATTATTACGGAAACACGAAACTGTAAGTCCTGTATTATGTAACTCAGTTGTGGCTGAGTGTGCATCGAAAACTGATGCTTTGACTCAGTCAGATGTCGTATTGGTTGCAATTGCTGTCTTGTCACTGTGGTGTCCCAGCTCCAGCACAACCCCCACCCACTCCATAAGCAGGACTTAACCACGCGGTGAAGCAACGGTGGGAGTAACTTCCAACCTGGTTCTCAGCGGGGTGTGAAGGGCACTCCTACCTCGGGGTCTGCTGCCCGTCTGGTCAGCCTCGAGGGCCCGGCTGCATGCCACCCGGCAGTCCTCATACCTGCCACTGCGGAGCAGGGCTTCGGGAGACAGGGCATCTCTCCAGGTGCCCCCAGGCTCCAGGGCTGCCAGGAGTCCCTGGCAGTTGGTCTCCTGCTGGCTGGTGCTGTCCCCGGCCTCCTGGCTCTGAGAGATGTAGTCCTGGAGGGCTCCGACCAGTGTGGGGAGGTAGGTCTGCTGATGGGTGCGAACGAAGGCCACGGTCCTGTCTGCGCTCGATGCGAAGGCCCGGAGGTAGTCGGCCACACCAGCATCCACCTGTGTCCCAGACAGGACCCAGGCCAGGGCGCGGGTCAGCTGCAGCTCCAGCGTTTGCTGGGACTGAGCGTCCAGCAGGGCACTGCAGCGCCTCACCACCTCCCCGTGGCGCCCACGTGCCAGCAGGCCGGCCAGGGAGTGCAGGACCATGGCAGGGTGGTCTGGGCAGAGGGTGGCCAGGAAGGCAGAGGCCAGGGTCCCCGTCAGGGAGACCACTGCCATGCCGTCCCAGTGTATGGCTGGGATCTGGCTGTCACCTCGGCACCAGGCCTCCAGGGTGGCTACCACCGGCACCCCCCGAGCCTCGGCCAGGGCAGCTCGGACGCGCCGCACGGCTGAGGGGGCGTGGCAGCTGAAGGCAGCCAAGTAGAAGGCGGTGGCCAGTGGGGTCTCCCCCAGGGCCAGGTGCTGGTCACCCTCCCGGCAGAGGCAGGCCACAAGTTGCTGGGCCGACATCACGCCTGCACCTGTGATGGGCCCATGTCCAGTCCTCGCAGCACCTGGAGGGGGGAGCCTGGTTAGTGCCCAGGTGACCATCAGCCCACCTGCCCTATGGCCCCCTGCAGCCCCCAGGTCAGCACAGAGGCCCCTGAGGGAAGACAGGGTGGATTCAGCTGTTAAGGGGCATTTGCGGGGTGAGGAGGGGCCCCTGCCTCGTTGTTGGGTCAGGGTGGGGAGCCACGCTGGCCCAGGCCAGGGGGTCAGTTACTGAGGTCAGTTCCGGGACCAGCCCTGCCACACGCACGCCTCTCCCGCTCCCCAAACCTCTGACCTGAAGACTTCATGGCTCATGGCGCTTTCTCTCCTGGGTCCCAAAGTGCCTTGCAAACAAGCCCCCCACTCAGTCGATGCTGTCTGGCACACACTGAGACGCAGACACTCACATGTGTGCACACACACGCTCGCACTCCCACGCATGCGC